TCAATAGAAATTAGTTGTCAGTTATTTTTGAAATAAGCAATATCAAAGACAAAAATATAGTTGAGAAGAACTCACATAATGGTAGAACTGAAGGCGTCTGCACATCGACCCATATGTCTCTATTACCTTCAATATCATCTTCCAGACGAATATCAAAGGTGATAACCATACCAGGCTCAAATGCATAAGCCTTGCATAGTGCTTGCCAAGTTTTGCATTCAAAATAGGTGTACGTGTGTGTATTGTATACTTTGACGTTGAAAGTATAACCATCATGCTCAGTTTTCAGGTAAGCTCTCTTTACCTCCATAGTTTCCATATCTTTGAAACCTATCTTATCCAAGACAAAAATTCTTGCATGGCAGGGGATGCGCTAGTAGAATAGTGAAAATTAAAAATTATAAGTCAGGCAAATGAAGCATATATAAGTCATGCTTAATTACGAAAACAGACTTGTCGTTGTGACTTACTGTATCGAATTCGAAAGTCTCATCCAGCTTGATGTTGAATCGCCTACCATCAACAAGGAAATTTCTGTCGCACTGGCCGCGTTGGTCTTCACAGTATTGGCACATAATGAAATTTTTTCCGTCGTCAGACGACATTTCCTATGTTCATATTAGGCGAAACATTAAACACTTACTAATTCAATTAATTCAACTACTTCTATTAATTCAACTAAGCATTTACTAAAAATAAACTAGTTATATTAATTCAATTAGTTCAACTAAGCATTTACTAAAAATAAACTAGTTCTATATATTAATTCAACTAGTTCAACTAAACATTTACTAAAAATAAACTAGTTATGTTAATTCAATTAGTTCAACTAAGCATTTAGTAAAAATAAACTAGTTCTATATATTAATTCAACTAGTTCAACTAAACATTTACTAAAAATAAACTAGTTATATTAATTCAACTAGTTCAAAGTAAGCATTTACTAAAAATAAACTAGTTCTATATATTAATTCAACTAGTTCAACTAAGCATTTACTAAAAATAAACTAGTTATATTAATTCAACTAGTTCAACTAAGCATTTACTAAAAATAAACTAGTTCTATATATTAATTCAACTAGTTCAACTAAACATTTACTAAAAATAAACTAGTTATATTAATTCAACTAGTTCAAAGTAAGCATTTACTAAAAATAAACTAGTTCTATATATTAATTCAACTAGTTCAACTAAGCATTTACTAAAAATAAACTAGTTATATTAATTCAACTAGTTCAACTAAGCATTTACTAAAAATAAACTAGTTCTATATATTAATTCAACAAGTTCAACTAAGCATTTTCTAAAAATAAACTAGTTCTATATATTAATTCAACTAGTTCAACTAAGCATTATATTTACTAAAAATAAACTAGTTATTATATTAATTTAACTAGTTCAACTAAGCATTTACTAAAAATAAACTAGTTATATATATTAATTCAACTAGTTCAACTAAGCATTTACTAAAAATAAACTAGTTATATTAATTCAATTAGTTCAACTAAGCATTTACTAAAAATAAACTAGTTCGTTGTATATATTAATTCAACTAGTTCAACTAAACATTAACATATTTCTAATTCATCGATGATAACATTTCTAACATTCTAAAAATAAACTAGATAGTCCTAATTCATCTAAACATTATAGAAAACAGAAAATAAGTAAAAAAAATATGTGTGTGTGTAGTACGTGTGTGTGTATATGTGTGTACGTACATGTGTAGTGTACGTGTAGTGTGTGTGTGTGTGTGTTTGTGTGTGTCTGTGTGTATGTGTGTGTGTGTAGTGTGTGTGTGTGTGTGTATGTGTATGTGTGTAGTGTGTGTGTGTGTATGTGTGTATGCGTGTGTGTACGCGCGTATGGAGTGGGCCGGGCTGCATACGGGTGGCGGGGGCAGCGACGACGGGCGGCGGGGGCCGGGGACGGCGACGAGACGGGCGGCGGCGGCCGGGG